GTGGTTCATCAGGGAATTTTTTCCCTATCTTTTATCTCCAGTGTAATCCTTAGTATAATCCATACATTCACTCCTTGTGAATAGCGAAAGCGATTAGCTATAATTTTAGTTGTCCCAGCCTCTGTTTAGAGAGAACCATAAATGTTAGGTGCTCTCCACAAAGGATATTAGACAAGAAAACTAAACTGTATCTATCTCCTGTTGAGCAGCTCTATGCTGACTTTCTGATTTTATAAATAAATTACTTAGGGGAAAATATCTAGTCTTCCTTTTAGGTACTTTAGTGAGCAGTATGGGTGAAGCTGACAAGTACTTTTATATGTTTGTTAAAATATTTTCCTCATGATTTTCCACTATGAAAATATGGATGACTTTAAAAGAGGATTTGGAAAGAAGGATAAGTATTTCCTTATATTAAATGTCCAGTAGCCATGATACCTCTGAATGCCAGCTGCAGTGGCTACTTGTGGACTTCAGAGATGTACAGTTTGCCAAAAAGGCAATAAAATGCTGACCTTCAAAAGGGCATTGAAGGCTCTTTAATGAGAAGAGGGGTTTTTCTCACAGGTTTGGATTGATGATGGAGCATGATCCTGTTAATTGTATTGTAACTGTGGTGGTAGGGAGATTATTTCTTCTCTAGTGCAATTGTTTGTTACTGGTGTTTTGTATTTTTTATTCCTTTATTATTTTTAATCCTCTGTAAGCCACTCAGTTGCTTTGTGGCTTTAGAATTTGATCACATTAAGAATTAAAATGTCATATTATTTAAATCCAGTTTTGTTCTGATCAGCCAGGGATCTTACTCTGTTTTTATCTTAACAAATTATTTGCAGTCGAAGAAATCCATAAAATAATTACTATTTGTCTCATTTATGCTGGTTTTCAAAAAAGTTTAAGCAGAGAGAGTTAATTGTCCAGAGACCCTTTCCGTACTGCCTTTTAAGGCACCAGAAGTGTGCAGTGTTGCTTTAAAACAGAGTAAAAAATTCCACTGATGATTTATGAGACAACTTAGCTATAATGCCAAAAGAATCCTGTTGAGCAACCATATTGTTCCAGATTTCACAGTAACATTGCCAGGTTAATATTTTTTTAATTAATGGGTCTTAAATGATTACTCACAAAATGGTATTTGTAATTTAATTACACTAGAAGGCATCTATGAAGCTAGCTTTGCAGTCTTCAGAACCACATACTTAAGAGTATTGATAAGAAGGTTGTACATTCTGTGTTGTTCCAGTAGGGCTCCTGTGGTGGAATGAAATCTAAATCTGGCCCAAGTTGCAGACTCAGCACTGAAGAAATAAGTTTGCTAAATGTTTTGCAGTGATTGAGCTTATGAGCCAATTTCTGCAAAGAAAGTATTGTTTTCTTACGTGGCTTCTGTTTTTTTCCATTGTGAAATCGGCTCACAGGATGGTAGCCCAGCTTGTTATATCAGGCTGGCATTGGCCACAGTGATGGCATTTGTCAGGGCTAAGTATAAATGGCCTTTGTGGATATTAGGTTGTTTGGTTGCCTCTAGTTCCCCTTCTAGTTTAACTTCTATAGCACCAGGTTGGTATGGGAGGCAGAGGAGTTTGTGCACATGGGTTTTATGTATGTTTAATCAATAGTGTGTTCTGTTAAGTAGGACTCGCTCCTAACTAAAAGAGCATGTGATCTGAGTCTTAATATTCTATGTTTTGCTAGTCTCTACTATGAGATTTATATCAGTGCCAAGATAGATATATGTTAAAAAGAGATCCAGAGTGTTACAGATGTAATTTGACATTCTCTCAATTGTCATGTAATTCTAGCTTTGAAACTAATTAAGAAAGTTCTCTTTCTCAGTCACTGGAATAACTGTTCTGTTGCTCCTGATTGCTTTTAGGCAAGCCACTGCAGTGCTCTCTGTTTCCTAAGACGACAGGAGACTAATATGACAAATGGACAAGTTGCTCATAGTAACATAGATATTCAGATCCTCCTTTTGCTGCTTAAGAAATGGGCTACAGCCTCCTCCCATTTCAATCAAATGGTTGCAGGGCAGTTTATTCTTTCAGAGGTAGAATGGATAGCTGAACAATTGTTGCGTAGCTGTCTTTGATTTGCTGCCATGTTACAAATATACACACATAAAAAAGTGAGCTCAAAGTGCATTCTTAATGCCTTGAAGCTCTTTGAGTTCATTTGGATGGGTCAGAGTGCTAGATATATCTTAGTTGCATGCAGGGTTGTTAACTAAGACATTAATTTACAGAAGAACAGTTATGGACATTGCTCTGTTAGGAGTTAAATGGATGTTGTGGAAATACTAATCCCTCCCATCTGTTTACCTTTAAGGGTTTGATTGCATGTGATGAAATAAAATTCACATCAAACCTGAACTGTGCTGTTTGCTTAGTGTAGGATCTTGCTGCTTCATGAACTGCACACTACAAAAGTCTGTGGTTTTCTTACTGAAAGATTATAACCTCAAGCAACACCGCAGAATTATGGTTTGACCTATATACTTTACCTCAACTACAATGAATACATACACATCCCAAGTAATTGTAATAGTGGTGATTATTTTGACAGTGAACATAATGGTGTGAGTAAGCCCAGAGTTGTAAATTCATAGTTTATGAATGCTTCATGCTTATGATGAGGCAAATAAGGGATATGTGTGTGGGTCAAATTGTCACTAATTGAGCTGGCTTTTACAGTACAAATAACCACATTCTTCTATCACCCTCTGGCCACAAATATTGTAGAAACAAGACAGTTGGAATTCTCTCTTGGGTCTTAAGAAATAAAAAGCTCTGCATGAGATTAAACAAGTATACTTACCATACTTGCGATAGGCCTGGAAGACATCATAATCTGAGTCTCTGATTAAAAATGCCACTATCTCCTGATGAATGTGCCTAAATTGAATTATAATGTGCCACACAGAAAAATAAACAGTGCATTGGGCCAGAAGTTTCCATGGGTGTCTGCAAGTGAGTGAAATAAGCCACATACCATAAAACATGACAATATTTTTGTTAGGGTTATTATGCATTTTAAGAAGGGGGGGAATTAGTTGTTCGCCCCTGATCATTACCAGAAACTCATGCATATCTAAGAAAGACAGCTGTTTTTGTACCTTGGGCTGATGTTTGGCATCTTGACTATCACAAGAAGAATGGGGCAACAGGCACATGACTGGTGATTTCCATTCCCTGCCCCTGTAAGTGAAGAGGAAGAGAGAAACTCAAAGCAGTCAGATTGTTTTTGCATTCCATGATTTGTCCTTTGGACTCAGCTACTAAGAGAACATGTGAAACCTGGCCCTTTTCTTTTTTTATTTATTTTATTACCACAGTGAAAAAAATAAAGTGATAAAAGAATATATATTAAACCAACAAATGCATTACTTCATTAAAATAATGCAACAAAACGTTAAGCACTGTTAAAATCTATTGTACATGTAGATTCTCCTAGTTTTCTAATGCCAATGAGTTATTAATTATGCTATTTCTCTGTAAATCATTGAATAACCTTTACCCTAACCATAAACAACATTTTAATTATTTACATGCTGCTTTTCAAATTGCATTTCCCAATTCTGACATGTTTGTGTAGAATATTAATTGAAATCAAGATCTGTATGATAATCAGTCTTCTCTGTTCAGAGAGAGACTTTATCTAAAGTAGCAAATGAAGTATGCTGGATATCTAAATGTTTCCCTGGTTGTACCAATATGTTCTGCTGGTACAAATGATTCTTTTGCCAGCAGGATTCCCACAATCCCTATCATTCCCAGTTATCCTTGCTAAGGCTAGGGATCACAGTAGTTGGATCTAGAAAGTGCCAGGTTGGGGAAGGCTGTTACTTTGAATTAATATACAGAAGTGGAGAATCTCTGATCTCAAAAAACTATCTGTAGTTTTTGTGTAGATACCAGTTATCCTGCTTATTATAGTATTGCTGTGTATGTATGCATGTGTATATATGGCAATATGTGTGATGCTTGTGTTCTTAAAAATGGAATTTGTGAAATGTACATTTAGAAGCACCACAATATGTAAACCTAAAAAAATGGATCCCTACAAATCTGATTTTAAAAACTTATATCAAGTTCTTGAGCTTTAGAGATATAAAAGTTTTATAAATTGAAAAATGGATAAGGCTATAGAGATAAATCTCAAATGCATCCTGTGTTTGTTAGAAGTTAAAATAAGGAGGTAATAAAGTGCTCTGTCTAGATTGAAAAGTAGGCTTTTTCAAAAAAAAAAAAAAAAACCTCAGGTATTTGTTCAATCTTAAATTTACAACTAGCAATACTTAAAATAGTACCACAAACAGATAATAAGTATTTCTTACCTATTTTGTGAGACTATGAAAACTTCCAGTCTGAACAGCCCTATGAAGCATGAACAGGTTCCAAGTACACCTAGGCTCATGGCCTTTATCTACAGGCCCATGATTCCCAGTAGCTAGAGGCCATACTTACTTTGGGGTATGCTAATAGTCAGATCTGGAGGGTTTTTTTGGTAGGCTGTATCTGATTATCTATTTTTTTGTGTGTGCAAATTATTTCATAGGCTTCAAGTGTCTTAAAATTATACTTCTGGTCCCATATATTGGCTGGGTTCATGTACAGGGCTATATCAGAATTCACTTAAACATGGTTTATTGAAAACTATAATTGGCCAGTTCTTTACAACGAACTAAGCCATAAGCAATGGTTTGTAAGCCACAGTGCTAGAGCTACACTATATGCTAAGCCCAAACCAAACAAATCAAATCATACCTTAGTGTAATGTTTGTATCCATTTATTCAAACTAGGGAAAATGGATTTATTTAGTTTCAGATTGCCACATACACAACCAGTAATAAATATTAATAACATTGCCTTTTAAAATATGTAAGGCAATAAATGTTTCATGTTACTGCAAATGGCCTGGATGTAGTGGTGGGCCATTTCAGTGCATAGATAAGAAGCTTCCATTATTAGGGCAGTACATTAGAACAAACATATGCACTATGGCCTTTCATTCCACATTGTCTGAGGCATTTGTGGAGAAGCAGAAATGTGTGTGTTAATTTATTGAATTAAGTTGCTGATGCTTTGTAAATGAGGTTGGAAATTAAAAGCCTTGTTTTTTATATTTGGAAACTGACGAGAACTCAGAACTGCAACAAAATACACTGGTTTGAGTTATTTTTGTCAGGAAAAGGGTCCTAGTGTATCCTCCTCTCTTGAAAAGTTAGTTCTCTATGGCCATGTTCATACAAGTTCTAAGGAAGAAACCCAAGTTAGCAAGCACACATAGAAGTTTCACGTCATTTAAATTTGAAACAGTTGCTATCCCGGATCACTGTAATCTGGATCCTGTATCTTGGATTTGTTATAAAGGAGAGTGCCCAAATGGTTTGAAACTGAAGGATGTGGTAAACTGGGAAAAGGTGCTAGGGTGTCTTCCTCAGAATGTTGTGAAGGGATCCCCACTTCCATAGGGGAACACTACCTCACGTGTAGTCACCATTTAAAACTTGAAAATACAGCCTGTCATAGGTTTGCTTCAGCAATGAGAATGAAGCCAAATATGCTAATCTCTTTTTAAATAGTGTATGGCACATAGCACATCTTCTAAGAATGAAGAAAACAAATCAAGAATTATGTATTTTTGCATTATAGTTAGGTGGTTTTATTTACCGAGCATTGGCATGTTACTATATTGAAACAGACAGTAAATCCCTGAGATGCTGGCTGTTGTATTACTTGCTTGCTCTGTTGACTGTCACAGAGTTAGCAAAATGTAGTGAATTTAGCATCATCTTAGTGTTATTACCTAACTTTACAAGAAAAAGTGTGTTGAAGTACTTTGTCTTACAAAGAAGCCTTTAAATAAATAGGTGTGGATGGGTGGTTAGGCGTGAAGATGCCTGTAATATTCAAAACAGGAAAATCAGTGGAATGTACTATGTCAATTTGAAAATAATATTTTTGTTTTCTCTCTTCCAGTTTGTCCAAGTATAGACATCCGGAATAACATGACCCTTTTCAGCATGCTTGAGAACTGCACTGTGATTGAGGGACATCTGCAGATCTTGCTTTTGTTCAGAACTAAGGCTGAGGACTTTCGAGATCTCAGCTTCCCTATGCTGACAATGGTAACCGAATATGTCTTGCTATTCCGGGTCTATGGTATGGAGAGCCTCAAGAAGCTTTTTCCCAACCTTACTGTGATCCGTGGGACTCATCTCTTTTTCAACTATGCTTTGGTCATCTTTGAGATGGTTCACTTGAAAGAGATTGGCCTTTACAACCTGATGAATATCACACGAGGGGCTGTGCGGATTGAGAAGAATGATGAGCTCTGCTTTTTGTCAACCATTGACTGGTCTCGGATTTTGGACTCCGTGGAAGATAATTATATTGTTGCTAACAAAGATGATAAGAAAGAATGTGGAGATGTATGCCCAGGAATAATGCAAGGGAAAAGCAACTGCCCTCAAACTGTGGTCAATGGTGATTTCATTGAGCGTTGTTGGAGTCATGACCATTGCCAGAGAGGTAAGTTTGTGAATCACGAAATATAGGCTACTGCTATATGCCATTTCTTTTCTTTGTCCTGAAAACAACTTTTTTTTGTAAAATGTGTGGCCTAATAGCTGTTGCTCTCTTATTGGTCCCCCAATCCACCTGTCTTTGCCACAATTCTAGTTTAATAAAGTGGCTGTTACCAGATATTGCTGATCTACAGCTCCCATTATCCCTCATCATTGGCCATGCTGGCTGGAGGCTGCTGCAAGTTATAGTTCCAACAATATCTGCAGTGCTATAGGTTGTGTATGAATGGTCTGTAAATCTATGAACTCCTCCCATCTTATAGCATATGGATGTTGTTCACTTGGCTTTGAAGAAGAAATAATTGTATCCTGTATAGACAGTACTGGATAAATAGATTCTATAGTTTTCTATATTTAGCTAGAAGGATCAACTAACAAATCCTGGAAAATACCTTCATCTGAGATGCTGGAGAGTTGTAATAAACTAATGCTTGGGTAGATGAACAAATATGACTGAGCATAAGGTTTCTTTAATATTCCTAAGTGCAAAATAAAACTGGAACTTCCTCTTTTGCAGGCTCTTAGGACAGTCCCTCCCATGTTCATGGGTGGAGTGATTGGATTGCTTTGGTTGAGGATCAGCCCTTCACATCTGTGTATGTGTATATGTGTGTGCGCCTTGAGTCAGTGTTGACTCCAGAGGCACCTTAATTTGCAGCTGGATGATTTTTTAAAACTTTGGTGTACTAGAATTTCTTAAGGAAACCAAATTCCTTGTTTGCATTTTTTTAGTGCAGAAACTGCTAACTGTACTAATTGATTGCATCTATGTGTTTGCTGGTTGTCTAGAAAACTTTATCATGCCTATTTGAAATTGCTTGTTGGTGTTTGGGGCTTGCTAGAAGAGAAGAAATGAAGACTGGTTTTGATTGATTGCTAAACTCATTCTTGAGTTTATTTATAATCCCAAGCTTTCTTCTAGGCTCTGTTTTCCATTTTTCCATTAGTTTTACAAGGCCAAAACATTTTGAGTAGCAGTACTTGTGGATAAACAACTTAGAAAAACTTTAACTTGACAAACCATTATGACTTGCTGAACTTTTTCTGTATATATTTGCCAACTTTTAAAGGCATTTGTTACACAGTTTACTGTCCCATAGTATTTCAAAACAGAATTTTTTTGTTCAAAATGATTGGCCAGAAGTTGTTGTAGTTGTGGTTCCCTTCTACCAGGTTGACTTCTAGACATGTGACAGAAGCCTATTGGAAAAAAATATCTTACTCGTTTCCTCTTGTGTCTCAGTATGTACCTATTTGCCTGAAGCTTAGTATGTGGCATGCTCAGTAAATGTTTTTTCAGGGCATAGTTGCATCTGATGATATAGGCTGAATCATATGTTTTCATAGAATGTCCAAGCATTCTGTTTCTAATACCATAAAGACCCTGTGTATTGTTCGCCACGCTCCATTCAAGTCTCCTTTGTCTAATTCAGTAGACAGAACATCAGAGTTCTGTTGCTTGCTTTGATACTGAATTTTGCCAAGGAAAATGTTTTTTCCCCAAACAAATTTGTATTTTCATTTTTGTTGCCTTGCCACAGTATCCTTTTCCCCAGTTTTAGCCCTGCATATATCCATCTTTCCACTGGAGAAAACAGTTTCTGTTCTAAAAGAATGGACATTCAGCCTTATTTGCTTACCTTATGTTTTTGAGGTACTATCCCATTTTTTTCCCAATTTCTCTAGTGTAACGACAGCCATATGCTGAATTTATGGGACAGGAAGAGGAAATGATCTACAAAAAACCGTGGAAGAATAGAGTGAATGAGAATATTCATGCTATTCAGGGAGTTGAAGTCTAGGTTTGTTGAGTAAGCTTTTAGCCTTCTCACACTAGAAGAGCTTCTAGCTTGTATAACCTTAGATAGGCCTTCTTTGGTGGGTTCGTTGCTCTGGAAAAATTCCTGCTACTTCTACTGACTTGTCTTTTAGAAAGTGACAAAGTTCAGAGAGGTGTGTGTGTGGGAAACTGTGCTTTACATTGTTTACTTAGGTAGAAATATTACTTAGCAACTGTTTCCAATGACTTCTTGTTCTTTTTTAAATGTCCTGGGAATTTCTGTAATCATAGGCCAAATTTTATTGCATATGCTACTTCCTTCTCCCACCCAGCACTCACAATATGAGAAACCAATCCTAAAGATAGCACTAAATTATTTGATCCATTTTTATTAATCCTTTTGAAGCATACACAAATGTTTCCTGTTACTGGTATCAGAGGAAGAAAAAGCATGTTTATTTTCACCATGAAAATTAGATGGAAATGGACTTTTGCTTATTGCATATATGACTTGCAGACTAGGAAGTGATACACTTTGTTGTGACTGAGCTTCTCCAATCTTCTTATGTTCAGCATACAGTTGTTTGAATAAACAAAATATGAGTGTGGGAAGCTGACTTACATCTGACTTATCTGGATGTACTTTCTAAGAGGGGAGTTCTCAAGAAAACATTGATTTGATGATGGGGAAGTCTCAGTTGCTTTTTCCAGGACCAGTACTCTGTTCACCTCTGTGTATGGAGAAATGGGAAGTAGCTCATTTCTCTATGCACTCATGTTACTGAATTTGGAAATATTTGGATATATAGAAGAAGGATGGCTTTCCCACAGATGTCATATACCACTAAAGATGTATTCCAGGAGATAATCAAGCTTTTGGGCTAAAAACTTCTCATTCCTGCTAAAAAGCCACTACCATCTCCAACACCTTACTGCCAACAACTTAACATATCCTACTGCTGGATGAGAATTCTGAAGATTTGTACTCTTTGTCTGAAGAATGCCATCTTTGAGAAGACTGCTTTATTGAATACAGTATTTCTGATTTGTCAAATTGATACCACTAAAGATGTATTCCAGGAGATAATCAAGCTTTTGGGCTAAAAACTTCTCATTCCTGCTAAAAAGCCACTACCATCTCCAACACCTTACTAATCATGTAGAATCCTATCCTACTGCTGGATGAGAATTCTGAAGATTTGTACTCTTTGTCTGAAGAATGCCATCTTTGAGTTGGGCTAAAAACTGAATACAGTATTTCTGATCTCCAACACCTTACTAATCATGTAGAATCCTATCCTACTGCTGGATGAGAATTCTGAAGATTTGTACTCTTTGTCTGAAGAATGCCATCTTTGAGAAGACTGCTTTATTGAATACAGTATTTCTGATTTGTCAAATTGTAGTTTATCATAACAATCCAGCAAGCTGCAGTTTGAAAATTACTCTAAAAGTGGATTTCAAATTATGACTTTGCATAATAGGAAACATAGCCTTGGAGAATGTCAGAATACAGCCTTGGGTGAATTTTATTCTTGCTTGTAGGTCAGCTATTCTATGAACAATTCATAGTTTTGCTAGTTTGGGATGCTGGAAAATGGGGAATGTGGAAACGTGAGCTTGAATTCCTTTTTGCTCATGCATGTACTGTAATCCCAAATCTTGGCTTGGCATTAATATTTGAATTCATCCGCAGTACTTTTGTTTACAATAGAGAGAAATGACGACAATAAAAGAATTAGCATTATACATGTTAATGTTTCATTTGAAACTTTAAAAATAGTTGATTTTATAAAAATATTGTAGAATGTAAGAGAGCATTTTACCAGTCTGTATATGAAAGAGGAAGCGGATTGTCTTAAAAAGTATTTTGAATTATTCTGGTGGTTAGTATTAAATGGAGTGGAGGGGTGGTCCAGTTTAGTTAAGCAGAAGAAAGCTTCCTGGAGGAGAGGTGAACATAAGAACATCTAACAAGACTGGAAAAGAATGAGATCAGTATAACACTGATCAGCTTTACACTCTCTCTCTCTCTGTATGTATGTATGTATGTATTTTGAGTGTGTGTGTATATATATGTATATACACAGAGTGCATTTTAATGCCTTTTGCCTCCCCTGAACCTAAAACTATTGTTTCTATAAATCACTGCAGAAAAAAACCCCTAAAGGTGTTTCCTATCTCAGGATTTCAGTGTCCGACTCCTTTATTGTTGCCTCTCAGAACACTTCCAGATACAGCTGTTAGAATTGAAATGAAGTAGTGCTCGAGTAGACTGTTCTCAGAATTGTAGTTATTAGGATGCTACAGGTACTACTGTGAGAATGCAGTGTTTGCTGAGAACCAACAGCTAATTAGAGTATGCTTTTCCTGACCGCTAGATGATCGGAGGTGTCTTTACTAGTCAGTGTTCAAGTATTGGCTACTATGTGAGTGCTTTATACTTCACCCTCAATTTTGTGGGGGGGAAATCTGTCCCCACCTCCAAAAAACTGAAAGAAAATAAATTGAAAGTGTCTTGTCAGCCTGTGATGATTGGATATATACTGGCATGACAGTCCTGTATTTTGATTCTTTTATTCAGTCCTGCTAGATTGCACTAGCATCTTTTCCAAAGCCCACATCTATTCCAGGACAGTCTTATGCTTCCCTCTTTGACTACAGGCAGTCCTTGGTTAACGACCACTTGTTCAGCAACTGTTTGAAGTTTCGATGGGGCTGAATGAGTGGTGCTTATGACCGGTGCTCAAAATTCCAGCCATCCCAGCACTCCCACGTTTACGTGATCATGATCTGGGCACTTGGCAACCGGCTCGCACTTAAAACATCCCGCAGTCACGTGATTGTGATTTGTGACCTTCACTGCCAGCTTCCCAAAAGCAAAGTCATTGCCACCCCACACCCTCCTGCACCCTTCCTGAGCCTTGCTGCACTCATGCCGTGCCTCCCCAGCCACTTGCGCTCCCTCCCCAAGCCTTGTTGTGCTCGCGCCATGCCTCCCCAGCCACTTGTGCACCTTCCCTGGCCACTTGTGCACCCTCATGCACCCTTCCCAAGCCTTGCTGTGCTTGCACCACACCTCCCTGGCCCCTTGAGCACCCTCCCCCACCTGGCAGCAGCCACCCCAAACCCTGCTGTGCTTGTACCATGCCTCCCTGGCCACC